GGAATAAAACCAGAAGATGTGATACTTTCTAGTTAGAATCATGAGGCTTTGGGTAAAGCAGGTGGCGTGTATATCCTTGGCTATTTTTTTGTCTGATAGCAATCAGAGAATACATCTGCCAATAAAATGTTGGGTTTTTCTTTCAGAATGCAGAGTGTAATAGACTGATTATAATGCAATTCAGAAGAAACTTTAAGACCAGATTATTTAAGCGAGAAGATCGTTCACAAGGTTATGTAATGACTTGTAAATTCGTGATTTCTACATTGGAGTAGGACTACTTCCATACCGTATTCTTTGAATGCTTTAAATTGCTCATACATTAGAGATATTCCGTGAGAACAGGTATGAATTAACTGTTTTGTGATTTGCAACATCATTACTTGAACAATTATTTAGCTAAAAATAGACGTGTTGCACGCGCAACGCTTTTATAAGCCCTCAATGTTTTTAATGTTTGTTTAGCACTACATTGTTGATTATCTGTTTCCCATTATAACCGTTTTCATCATTCGCTGTCAATATTAACAATGTGACTTTATATTTAATACGTTTAGTCGCATCGTCTGTGGAAAGTGGTTTACAAGAATAAAGCTCGCGTTTTTTTGGTATATTTTATAATATCCAATGCATTTTTTGTATCGTCTTTTTATATAATTAGAATTTACTGTCATTTCTGCTTGAATAGACCTCAATATCAAACAAAATAGTATCTTGGCAGTATACGATTTAGAAGAAATAACCTAACAAAGTGATTATATAATTTGACACATCACAGTGCGAGTCATTAGTATTAGGAAAAAGGTTTGTTTATTCTATAACAAAAGATCATGCCAGTAATGACGGTTGTTGTAAGTAACCTTTTCTACTTGGACATACACGGCTTTGATAAATCAATCAGAGAGCGAATTCCTTTGACGGTTTGGAAAGAAATTGCCTATCTTGTATGGTGTGATAAAATATGAATTTATTAGACTCATCGATTGATACGCAAAACAAGTCGGGTGAATCACAGAATGCACTGTTCAGTCGTGTTGACATTTGGATAATGATAAATAAATGCAAAAAAATCAATGCTATGTTCTATATCGCCTATTCAAATATACACGTAATAGCCTAGATTACTCAAGCCAAATCTCGAAGTTGCCCTTCTAAATTACTTTTTTAAACCATCTAGACTAGCACTGGCAGCATCATCCAAGAACCAAATCAACTTTCCATTAACTGGCTTAACCAACGCAGCTGGATAAGTGGTATCGTGCAGGTCGATCACCTTATGCAACACATTCTTTTTCCCCTCTCCCGTCACAACAAACGCAACGTTATGCGCGTGATTAAGCACTGTTAATGGAAATGTAATTCTTCTTGGCGGTGGCTTGGGTGAGTCCTCAACAAACGTCACCCACGCTACCGGTTCGTTCAAAACTTCAGCATACTTTTCATCTGGAAACAATGAACACGTGTGTCCGTCCGGGCCCATTCCAAGTAACAAAAGATCAAAGACGGGAAATTTGGCAGTGTTCATTGCAGCAAATACCGAGATTAATTTGTCTTGATAGTCGTTAGCGGCTTCTTCGGCGTTGGCAATCAGCGATTCATCGACTGTATAAATGTTAGCCTCTGGTATGGGGACATGATCGAAGAGTTCTTCTTTTGCCAACTTGTAATTAGAATCTTCGGAAGCTAACGAGACGAGCCTTACCAAATAAATGTATGGAAAAGCAGTTAAGTAATCTGACATCTCGTTACTATCACTACAATCAGATTCCATAGAAATTTACCTTTCGTCACAGAAAAAGACTATCCACTTATCCCAATCGATATCTTGTCTATTTTTCAACTCCGCCGCTAGTATCCTTGGTAAAGATCCACCTGATAATCCAACCGTGAACCTGTTCCTCACGGACACTGCCTCGCGTGACAATTCAGCAACATAATCAGCAAGTGCTTTGGATAATTCCTGTATTACTGGGTAAGAACGAATCTCGGTTGATTTCACCATCGTGATCGATTAGAAGATTAGAAGAAGGGGTACATTATAATTAGGCAGGGGTTAAAATTACGAAACGTGAAAATTTAATGATTGGCTGAACACAAACCTATTAAATGATTGATAACCCAATGCGTGTAAGGAAAATAAAACAGAAAGCACGTCTGTCCAGAATTCATCGTACTGGCCAGATGATATGAAATAGCTATGGAATTGATAAACTCTTATAGCGATTTATGCACAAATCATACGTTGATAGTAACCTACGCACTACTTGCGCAACAGTACGAGATCTTGCTGTATTCACGTTAGCATAGTCTTACACATGTTACGAAATATATCGATTGTGAATTTTATTAGTAACAATTGAGTAGAGTTTATCAATAAGATTTCAATTTTTAAGATTCTGGTACTTTTAACCAACACGAGAGACACGACTAACGTATTTGCTTGAAAGCTCATCTTATGACCATAATATTCCACGCGTGTGCTATTCAGGTTGAAAACATTCTCATTAAATTTTATTGAATTAAGAGATTTTCATAATAATTAGTTTAATTTTTTTTGCATGTTTCTAAACTTTGTGGATGAATAATAATTTAAATCTTCGTGACAACCAAAACACTACAATTCATATAGTTCAGACCAATTATCGTGTAGATAAAACAGAGTCGATTCCTTCATTTTCGTTGCATTAGTTCCAGCCATTACACCTCTATTACGCCAACTTCTCCTATTCACACGTCCGGTAATATGTTTTATCCTTTCGATGCGTTTACTCTCGGAAGTCTTCCCACCAAAGTTCATTATCCACGTTTGATTTGCCAAAGCAACATATATTTTAGAATGATCAAGTTGAAGAGAATAGATAGGTGAGGAGCTCTGGTTGCGTCCGAGATAGACGGTCCAGCCATCGGCCACTCGTTTGCGTTTGAGAGAGCCTGGATTTGGAGAGTTTGTGAAATTATTGGCGTGGCGAATATCCCAGAGACAAATCATTCCGTGCATTGCGGTGCCGGAAACTATATGATAGTTGTCGTAGTCGACTGAGTATACTGTAATTTAAAATAAAGGGTGTTAAAGCGATGAAAAGCATAATAACATTTATAAAGAATACGTTTCTAACCTGAGCAAGCATCAATTCTATCGCTATATGAAGCCACGCGCTCCATGCTTCTAGTATCAAACAATGCTGTAGAACCATCAAAAGTACCCGTGACAAACGTATGTGCGAGATGTTCATTCGAAGCTAACGCATAAACGGTGCTTTTGTGATTCAATTCCTTGTTGTCCAAATGCACTAACCCACTTGGTGTCACTTTGTACAAGGACAAGTGTTCTTCACTTCGGTTCCCTATTGCAATTATATCGTTCGATATACCTCTCATTACCCGCGGCCTTCCTGGTAACCGCAGACTCGTCAAGACCTCAGATGTCTCAGTGTCCCAAACATACATATTTCCATCTACGCCAGCAGAGTACAATGTCCGCGGGTGATGGTTGAATTGATATATCGATTGCACGCAGTGGTCATGTCCTTCGTAAGTCATTGATTTGGGAATAGAAGAGGTCTCTTGTCCGTCAAGAAACCATCGTTTTATGGTCGTATCGGTTGACGAAGTGAATAACTCTCCATTGCTGGATAGATGAATATCCACTATGTCACCGGCATGCGCAGGAAAGAATCTACAATGATCAAATTTTGTTCTGTCATTTGAATCAAAGTATCTTATGTCCAGGTCTCCACCTACAGTGCAGACGAGCCTTTCAGTGTCAAACCGAAGACTTGGTATGTAGGACTGTCGTTGCCGTGCTATTACATCAGTTGAGAATCTTTTATTCTCCCAATTGCTGAGAGTTCTGAGCCCATATTTTACTTTAGTGCGCCAGTCTGATGATAAAATGCTTTTTGTAAGTATTTTCCATTTTTGTTTGATGTAATATAATTTATAGCCATGTTCTTGTATTATAGAGTAATGTCCTTTGTCCGCTTGAGATAAAGCGACGAGATCTTCGAACGTTAAAAGGTCGAGTATGTGTAATATGATATCCAAAGGGAAATCGATTAATAACATTTTGGCAGCAGTAAAAGGGCAATGGGCTGCAATTTTATTTAATGTTTTTGGCGGAATAGCCGTAGTAGTTTTTACTGCGGATATAAGCATTATATTTGTTTTCAGCATCGAACCAACCAAACGCTGGCTCAGCTGCATTAGCAATGAATTCCGGCCGACCAATGATTCATAGCTTCAGAAACAAAGAAATCTGATACGCATCTCCACGTGATTCATCCGTTTCCCATCACTATTACGTTAAGAAATCACCCAAATGCACAGTTGCGCGAGGGACAATATACATTCTACTGAACGAAAAGATTATGATCAGGTGAAGATTCGGGAGATCGCCACGATAAAATGGGTAGACGGGATAGATTCGATCTTGCAAATCCTGCACACAGAAGCAAAGTATTGATAGCATTATTTACCAAGATACGTCGATTTCTTTGTCAGTAAAAGGAGTATCATGAGAATATGACAAGGTGATGCGTGTAGGATCCGTTTACAAGTGAACTTTATTCTTGCTTTCCTCGACTTGTACCTAGTCGCAGTCATAAGGAAACCAACTCTTTTTTAGTTAGTAACGATGATGTGGTAGACCAAGTGGAACATGAGAACAATACCAAATCCTCAATGCCGCAATGCTTTTTCCCTCACCTGCCTTGCGCATTTACTCTTTTGTCAAAGGCCGCGTTATTTTGGTAAAAAGAGCTTGGCGAGTTCCATAAAAAGCAAGATTTTATCAATATTTGTGTCAATCACTGGCACTAGTCTTAACCTATTAACGTTAAAAGATTATGCATTGCGCGCTTTTCAAAAGTCAGTAATACAGGGTAGTAGCAGTAGTAAAAATCAATTAAAAAGGAATCTCTTAAATATTTGATAAATATAACGTTCGTGAAGTCGTCCCAGAGTTAACGCCCGAATAAAAAAAAAAGATTCCGGCTTGATTGATTGCGTAACAATATCCAGAAATGGGCGTTTTCTGAATCTGTGTTACACAATAATACTAACGCAGATTGATCTGATCGAATTCGGAAAGATAGATCAAAGGCTACTAACTTCTTGCCTGCGAGACGCCACTCAATACTCATCATGCCGGTTCTCTCCAAGCCAGCGAACGATGTAGCATCAGACATTAAAGTCAGCATCAGCACCGCTGCATCTGGTCGTTCAAGTCGCCAGTCAATAATAGCCTCGGCCGCCCTGTTATCCATTGCCACATATTTTGTTAACTATGCGTATAGGCACTATAATAACAAATCGTCGAATGGCCATCCTTCCTATCGTCTCAATTCAAAGGGTAACTTGGTTGATGGTCCCATACCAGGCAGTGACAAATCCAGAGTGATGGTTCCGTACAAAAAGCGAATGGCCGAAGTCAGATATCGCCCGACAAAGAAAGAGACCTTTGCTAAAAATAAAAAGATGTTCACTGAAGTGAAGGGGAATACACAAATGAGCAAAGTTGGAGTTAACAAACATTTCTTTAAGCAATTGCTCGCTTTGTTGAAAGTTATTATTCCCAAAATAAAATCAAAAGAAGTCTTTATATTAGTAATGCATTCGGCGTTTCTCGTGCTGAGGACTTATCTGAGCGTTGTAGTCGCTAAATTGGACGGAAGAATTGTTAGAGATTTGGTTAGTTTTGATTTTGTGTTTATGTGGACGTACTCCATACTGCACTCGTATGTTGTTATTGATTTGACATATACAATGTGTTTTATCCCCGACTTCTTCTTCATCAGGTCGCTGCAAACGGTAAAGAATTCTTAAAAGGACTCGGGTACTGGTTTGCCATTGCAGTCCCAGCCACTTACACAAACAGCATGGTATATGTTTGGAATGTTTTCATACGCGACACATATGCATCCCTTGTTTCTTATTCATCACATTTTCAAAATGTCTATTTTAGATTCGATACTTACAATCAAAATTATCAATTGCATTCCGAACGCGATTGACTCGTTATGTACATGATCTCTATCTCAACGACGGGAATGCTTACTACAAAGTCGTAAATTTAGATAGCAGAATAGAAGGACCTGATCAGTGAGTTGGGTTTTGATAACTTTGGAGTGGCACTAGCACACACACTTGCACATAATGCTTATTTCATGCATATCGCTTATTAAATACTTGCCTCTTTCACCACCAGATTCATCACCACAGATATCTCCCGCTTCTGTGACGGCTTAGCCTCTATCTATTCCAACCTCGGAAAACCAATTCTTGACACTATAATCTTCAATTATCAGCTTACAAAGAGCATTGGAGTTACTGGCACTGCTGTCATGTTTGCAAATTATCTAGTCACAGCTTGGATTCTGAGAAAAGTATCTCCTGCGTTCGGGAAACTGGCTGCGACTGAAGCAAAACTCGAAGGCGATTTCCGAGCGGTCCATTCAAGACTAATTACTAATGCAGAGGAAATAGCCTTTTACCATGGAGCAGAGTTGGAGCACTCCATACTTAATAGAACGTATACGAGGTTAATCAAACACATAAATTCGATCTTTAAGAAAAGGATAGGTTATAATATGTTCGAGGATTTCGTCCTGAAATATTGTTGGAGCGCTCTTGGATTAATGACGTGTGCGTTGCCTGTATTCTTTCCGGCTTGGGGTGGACGAGGAGGAATGATGGAGCTTCAGACTGAGAACTCGGCTAATGTTAAGGAGAAAGTTCGAACAAAGGCTTTTATTACAAATAAGAGGTGAATATTTTACTCAACAGAACATTCTAGTATTTAGCAGCAGCGGTCAAGCCCAAATAACAATACGTATGTGCCTTAATTTACATTATGTCCTCCTTAGGTTATTGATAACGCTAGCAGACGCGGGAGGCCGTATGATGTATTCGTACAAAGAACTGGCTGAGCTGGCTGGATATACTTCTCGCGTTTATAACTTTATTTCCGTCCTCCACTCTCTTCATGTGGGCGAATATGCTGGCACTCCACGTCCGAAAAGCTTCCCTGTGGAAAAAGACTTTTATTCCTTGGATGACGTTCGCGGGAAAATTGTCTTTGGATACGACGGATTGAAATTTGAAGACGTTCCTATTGTGACGCCCAATCCAGGAAACGCAGTAGGAGGAGAAGAATTGATAAAAGATTTGAATTTTAATATCAACGCTGGCGAGCATTTATTAATAACCGGTCCCAATGGAGTTGGAAAGACCAGTATTGCTCGAGTTATTGCAATGTTATGGCCTACTTTCCGTATGTTCTGATTCTTTGAAATTGCTAGGATGGTCCTTTTCTTTTAGGGTTTGCTATTCAACTTTTATGTATTTTTTACAGGAGGTTTGCTTTCTCGACCAAACGTTGGAGATATCTTTTATATTCCTCAGCGTCCTTACCTCAGCATTGGTAATCTGCGCGATCAGTGAGTAAAACAAAAGGCAATGCTAATTAGCGCTAGTTTGTTTATTTTTGATGACTTATTCTATTATTAATTTCAGAGTCATCTACCCGCACTCGTACGGTGATATGATCCGTGCTGGTCGAACCGATGATGAACTCGTGGAAATTCTCAAAATCGCACGGTTATCGACCATAGTTACTCGGGAAGGCGGTTGGGAAACCAGAAAGGAATGGAAAGATGTGTTTTCTGGAGGCGAGAAGCAGAGGGTAAGTCTGCCATAATCATTTATGAAAAATTTTTTTTTCGAAAGTCATTTCAGTGATTAAATTTGGCTATATAATATATAGTTGGGTATTGCGAGGTTACTTTACCATAAGCCACAGTTTGCTGTGCTCGACGAATGTGAGTTTTTTTTTTTTTTCGGTTTTAATGTTGCGTTATTTCTATATCAGACTTTCTAAATATTGTGAGGTGAATTTTGCAGGCACGAGTGCTATCAGCACCGACGTCGAAGGTTTAATGTATCAAGCTGCCAAGGATGCAGACATAAGTACGTGAAGATTTCTTTGGCATAGCATCGTCCTCAATAAACTCAGCAGACTAATCTTTCATCTTACTTTACAGCTCTAATAACAATTTCTCACCGACCATCACTGATAAAATACCATACCCACCTTCTTCGTATCCATGGAGACCATGGAAGCTGGGAGTTTTCTCGTATCGGCACTGCAGAAGAGCGTATGTCTATTGATAAAGAAATCGCTGCGTTGGAGGCTAAATTACGCGACGTTGAGAAAGACCAAGAACGCCTGGCAAGCATTAATAGAGAACTGCAACTTGGTGTTTGATATACAGAAATCAAATGCCTAGACAAGTATTAATGTGAAATAGTTATATAGATCGTGGAAAGTATTATTGTGATTTGATTTATATTAAATGTATACTAGATTCTTTGAATCACCACGGATTTGGTAATGAAAATACTTGATAAACGGTCATGTCTAGACAATTACTGACAGCGGAACTTTCCAAGCTAACCTTAACCAATCACCTGGATAAATTTAACACAAGGAAATAAGATGTAGTTTTTCGACGCAATGGCCGACATGGTAATATTTAATATCGATTCGAAGTTATGCTCGCTTTGTTAGGTTATACTGAAGACAATCATTCCCGTTGGGTATGTGACTATTTGTAAAAGATGCTCCAAAGTATTTCCTTTTCATATGTAGTGCATTTGGCGTGAAGCTTTGCGAAAAATATTTAGTGTTGTAATTAGGATGACTCGATTAGTGTGCGTAACAATCATCGCGTGCTAAATGAAGTACCATAATAGCACAACCGAACAAACAAACAGTCTATGATACAAATCATCGTGTCTCCTTCATATTTTCATTGTTTCTAATACGATAATGGTTTGCAACAATAATCCAATGATAGTAAGAATGCAGTTATGTTTCTAATTTTCGTTTCTTTCTGGGTTTATCACAAATTGAGGTTAATGTTTGTTTATTAGTGATGATTTTCCTTTCCTCTTGATAAATTTCATAGGTAATTCCTTCTTTGTCTAAATATGCTTGTTAGTTTGAAAATATAAGGTACAATCTTTTCACCTTTTTCTTTTTTTTAAAATGCTTCTGATTGTGCTGTAATTCTTTGGTTCCATAGTAATAGTGGATTCGATGTAAATTAGTTTCATATTTATATTTTATATAGGGATAGCCCTATTCTTGAAATCACCATATAACAGAGTTACTACCATTGCCTTTTTCACCGGTTGCACGCCTGCCGTTCTCTCAAATCTCACTCTGTAAGTATTAGATGCTTACCCTATCTTTCTGCACTATCTGTCTGCGCGCTCAAGATTGTTGAATCTTTTTCCATTATGCTGTGCTTATTATGTATAATTACTTGCAAATAAAGATTAATAACAAAAAACAACTAATACGATGAAATGTTTAGCGCTATTTATTTCCCTTTATCAATCAATTCAAATCGTACTTTCAATTTTACACAACACATTAACAATAGCTACGCTAAATGCATGTATATTGATTGACGGCGAAAATCGATTTCGCGTTTTCGAAAAATCACGCAGATCGTTATAGTCAAAGTCAAATAATACTTAATATTCCATGTCAATTTTTTGCACACAAATGGACAGCGGTTACGTTTAACATGCATGTAAATTTTATAAGCATAGGACTCTTGCTTGCTGAGAGTTTCTAGCGATACGATGAAGATTGATTTCGCGTTTTCGAAAAATCACGCAGATCGTTATAGTCAAGGTCAAATAATACTTAATATTCTGTGTCAATTTTTTGCGCACTGATGGGCAGCAGTTACATTTAACATGCATGTAAATTCTATAAGCATAGAATTCTTGGCTGCCGATTTAGAGTTTCTAGCGATGCGATGAAGATTGATTTCGCGTTTTTCGAAAAATCAAGCAGATCGTTATTAGTCAAAGTCAAAATAATACTGAATATTCGATGTCAATTTTTTGCACACAGTTACCTTTAACAAACATTAAATTGTATGAGCATTGGGTTCTTGGTTGCTATGTTATTAGTGATTACAGACAAAAATTGATTTCGTGTGTTTGAAGAATCAAATATGTAAATTATAGATTCGCCAATCACTAGAGTACTGAGTTGGAACAGTATTAGTAGGGAAGACATGTCTGAGTCAGTTAGCAAGCGATCGCTAACACTATGCATTGTCATTATTAATTGGAACAGAACATTACAACCAAAAACTTAGTCATTTGATGCACACAAATCTTATTATTATTGATTATTATTATTATTATTACAAAAAAATTCTAATTAATTCTTGTCCGAATAAACAAACATTTACGTTTCGTTGAACGGAGTACTAACAGTGCAGTGCACTTTAATTATATTTCATGGCGTCTTCTTTTTCTTGATCTTCCAACTTACAAAGGTCGTGACCGATGCGATGGAGTTTGACGAATCATATCATTCGTCGATTGAGTCGTGCTGCTCAATTGGCGTGGCGACCTGCGTAGTCGTAGTTGATGTAGAAGTGGTAATCTGAGGGATATGGCGTCGGACTACGAAACCGGCGACCGATTTTTGACGAATCGGCATATAGAAGTTGGTACGTCTATTGGATATGCGGATCTATCGCTATTTCGACATGTACTACAAACATCGTGCATATTATCTGGATGAACTTTTATTTCTTGATACAAATATACCACATGAAAAAATATTCTTTATTGCTAGAGCGAGCACGATTATTCTCAAAGTAAAGGCTCCTGAAGACGACCAATATAAATTGTTAAACGATGCTACCCGTACAACAGAACAAACATGGTTAATACAAACAATATTACATTACTGGTTGAACGGTACACGTTCAGCAAACGAAATCCACCAGAAAACAAACATTTCCCTTCGAACTGTTGAACGAAAAAGAGTGGTTGCCGCCATTGGACAACATATACGTAACAACGATACTATTTCTATTTCAACTCGACAACTTGCTGTAAAAGTGCAAGAAATCAAGGAACATCAGTATGGCATCAAACAATTTGGCGAAAAAAGGTTACATGAGTTCCGTACCTCGATGCTCACAGATCGGTATATGAAAATGCGAAAAAAGTGGGCAGAAGCACATATGCAAGACAACTGGAGCCGCGCCATCTTCACTGATGAGACTGAATTTGACCTTTTCCGAAGCAAAGTCCGTCGATGGCAGTAAAACTCTTTCGGCGGCTACACGTCAGAAGGTTATGACATGGGGTGGAATCTCGCTTAGGGGAACGACACCATTATTTTGCTTTACCGAAATAATGGACGGGCCATTTTATGTTAACATGCTGCAAACCCAACTTTTACCTGCTGCACGGAACATGTACGGTAATAACTGGTGTTATTAATGACCCGAAACAAGGAAGTTTAGCTAGTGCGACTAGGAAAGGTTTGCGAAGATCAGACTAGTGTTACTAACCCGTTTAGGGAAAGATGCAGAACTTGAAATATTTTACTTAGAAACTGGTCGGCCAGATTCAACTCTACACGTCCAACGTGGCGAAAAATTTTATTGCCGAAAATAGGATTAAGGCAATTGATTGGCCGGCAAAAGTCCCGACCCTAATCCTATGGAAACCTTTTGAAGGGTAAGTCGAACGACGAATACCGCAAGATATTTAGCAATTGAAGAAAATTTTAACTGAGAAATGGGAAGCAATTCCTAATGAAACCACAATTAATTTAGTACGATTTATAAAAATAGGGAAAGAGCGAATGATGGAGGATTTTCTATTAACGCTATATTTTTATCGTCGATGCTTTTAAACATCGCTTTCCCATCGACCAGCATATGGATGACACGCGTACTAGGGAGTTTGTGTACCAAACCTAAATTAATTTCCACGCTTTACGCAATACTCTGGACCGCTCATGTTATCCCTCACAGCATGCATCATGAGAAGACTTTAGAACGGCAGAGAATTAGAGACACAAAACCGGAGGATAGAGTGATAAAAAAAGAAACAATATGGAATATATGTGTGGTCGATAACATTGATTTTGTCGAAAAAACTTTTGCGTACGGAAATATTTTTGATGCTGCTAGACGTAGTATTCACGCCACAGTTAGAATGGTATTTCAGTTTGATTTATTACAACCAATACAAAATATTGTAAATGCAACCGAAAATAATAACAATAATAGAAAGACAAGTCTGTTCGGAGAGACAGATTACGCAAAAGGATTATTACTTACATTATCGAAGAAGTTTTTCGAAAAGATTCAAACACCTGGTGCCAAGAAACAGTTTTAGACGCCATTAGACAAACTGTAATTGATGGATGTAACGTTCCACCACCTAACGTTGTAATTCTAAAACCGGGAGAAAGTCCAAACTGTAATGCAAACGTGCATAAAGCATGCAAAATGTATTTTGATGACGTTGGCACGGAGAACAGTGGTTGCCTCGATATTGTATGTGATGAAGCACTTTTTCGTCGATTGATTCCATTCGAAGAACAACATTCACAATGCAGACTGATGCTCGGTCAATGGCATACATCGAAAAGTATGTGCTCGGTTTTAATAACAATATTTTCTGGTTACGGAATTTTCAAATTAGCTGCGAGTCTTGGAGTTAGATACTTCGAGAAATTAGAAAAAGTGACCGATTACCCTGCCACTTGCCGTGTTTTAGAATTAATCTATGTTGCTGTTGCTCTTGCATTGACAACGTACGCACAAAGTCTTGGACTATCACTCTTAGATCTTGAACATACGAACAATCATCTAATCAAAGTATGGTATTATTATTTTAAATGGTGTTCGTATTGGCTAGGGCATAAAATTGGCATACGAAAGGGCAACTTCGATATGCAATACGAAAATCTTACTGCATTCTCCCCGCTATTTCCTGTCGTCGGTAAAGGCAATTATTCGCGATCAGTGACATACTTTTTATCCTACCTTGCACACCAACCACAACTTCGAACACTCCTTAAACACGTTGCCTCGGTTAACTTAACAAGTAATGGAAACTACTTTGCATTCGACGAGGCGTTAGAACGATTTGGCGTGATGTTCATCAAGCAAAATATAGGCGGTAAACCAATGACAGCCGACGAGTTGAAGTCACAAATATCGGCAGCCCAATCAGAACGAGACCGTCTAACAATGCTATTTTCGGAATACGTCGGAGATACTGTTCACATTAGTAAAGAAAAGCGGTTAAAGTCATACAAGGAGGCGTTGCAAAAACTTACAGGAGGCTTAATTACTGCGTTTATGTCGTCTGACTCTTCATCACATGAACTGTTCGTAGACAGTGCTGAACTAAATCCTGAAGGATATAAAAGACTTTTTGAATGTTATGACATTGGCGTCGCGCGCATGAACGCAATTCTACGGCAAGACGTTTATAAAACGGAACCTAGAGTCGTGAAAGGCAGACGAGGAAAAAACGTCACAGTCCATAAGTGGGATCCAGAAAAAGGGAAAAGTCTTATTCGAAGGTCCTCGAAGAAGCAAAAACAATCGAAAACGGACGATGATGTCGAGATGACGGGTTAGTTTACGATAAATATCCGTTACTATACGACAATAGTTACATTATTATAACAATTGTTGTTTCTACTCTGTTTTTTTGTTCTATTTTGTTTGTTTTTTTGTGTTTACGGTTACGAAACATCATGATGAAGTGCATCATGTTATTGAATTATTAACCTTTTTGGTCTGGTTAAAGTATCTTTCGAAAAGACAGAAAAAAGGCAATGAATTACTAATAGTATATTAATTTTATGTTTCATAGTATAACCCGTTCAAAAATGCTGTTATATCATGTAATAACATATGTTGATGAACATTTAATAAATTATTCTCTAATCAGCTGTTTGCGATGCTTTTATTTGTCACATATTCGAAAAAGCTGTATAACTTTCCGTCACTGAATTTTGTGTAACGTGTCACTTGTTTGGACATATCCAGTGACCGTTAAAGAAATCGAGCTATACCATTTTCATGTAATAAACTCGTATTGGAAAAGAAAATTTATTTTCTAGTCTCTTATTTTAATATTAATATATCATTCTCACACGAAAGCACGAGAATGATATACCGTTGATATTAAAATGAAAAAGTGTTAAAATTATAATTATAGTATACAAAAAAAAACAGATCGAAAATATTTGGTAAAAGTATTTATTCTTTTTACACGAAGTATAACGTGATGTTGTAAAAAAGGTTGCAATTACAAGGGGAAAAAACCCTTTGTATTTATGAAGTAAGCTCTACTCATCCAATTGAAAAGGTGTATCCCATCCAAGCCTCACCGCGAGGGGGTCATCTATCGGTTTAGTAAAATCAAATACTAGGTTGGCACTCTGTCAAGTGGAATTTATCAAATTATTTTTGGCACATTAATATAGCACAGAATCTACTTATGACAAAAAACCATTTCACAACCAGTTCCATGTCACCATCTAATACCGCAATATAAAATAAGAGATACTAATACTAATACTAATACATTTTACGTACTTTGTCAAACACAAACTACATTTAGAAAATAAAAAAGAGACAGCCACTACAGCATTAGAAAAGCCTTCGGTTTTTGGGGGAAAAATGTTCTACCATCCACAAATCATGTTCTGTCATATTTTCTCCTAACTCTGTTGCATGAGGATGAGGAAGATTAAGGTTCATGTATAAAGAATATTTATATTTAGCTTTATTTATTATTGAACCGAAAACATTTGATAATAGTCCAGATAATCGATTGAGTAAAATTGCACTCTCATCTGTCCAATAAGCCTTTGTTTGGCAGACTTAAAGGACGTGTACGACTAATCCTTCATTCTGAATCCACCAACAATGTTACTTCAATGACAATTATCTTGCCTCAGGCTCTTGTTGACGTCTATTATTATGAACGTAATAATATTGTAACTAGGCATCATAACGGTCCTATTATGGCTCATATCAATAAAAATACGAAATTAGCAGAACAACAGAGAAAATTGGTAGATGATAATTACGCTGTAACAAGAGGTAAAGCTGATTATTGTAGCGTTGATGCTACTGCTCATTACAGTTACGATTGGGCACATTTTCCCCAGCTACAGCATCACCATCAAAAATTTTACGGGTACATACGATTATTCTAAGTATCTAGTGCTATCATTATGACCTTTCCACGTTAGTGGCATCGTTCTTTTTCTCCGATATTGTTCAACGTCTGTTACTAGTCTAGATACGGGTTCAAAATATCTCTTCACGCCTTTGCACCATCTTGTACTCCCTTTTGACTTTTGTTCTTCCAAAAGATCAAGCGCCTTTCGAGTTACATTGATTAATTCATCAAATGAAGCATCTATGTTATTATCTTCAACATCATCAACATTCGACGTGATGTTATTTGCGTCAGCCAATTGTCCAATATTTGGTATGATGTCAATATTTGTATCAGTTTCCATCAAAAAAGGAGGTTGCCAATTTCTCTTAACCTGATTGAAGAATTCTGGCGGAACCCTTCCTTTTTGATGAATCAAATGTTTACAAATATTGAATCGACTGGTTAGATAATATGGACATCCGCATATCCATCGTTCCAAATCTGTCATATAAGTATGATTTATCGGCTGATCAGACAGTTTCTTCCACTCGGACTTGAAGCTTTTAATCCACTCTGGCTTTT